ATGATGATGATGTCTTAAAACATGTCTGGGGGATGTTATACTTCTAAGACAGTCGATATATAGAGGGACATAGGAAATGAGAAGAGGGAGAGATGGGTATGCCATGCAACCAAGGTCCTCGGCCAGAATCAAATTGTGGACATTGTGGTCATATGGTAGCCTAACCATTCAGCTACAGGGGCACGCCCAATCTTATCTCTAAATGTTAACAAATCAGTTTGTTGTGGACAGATACAGTTTATTATATATTACAGGGATTGTTGGTGCCCCCTATATAGAGGCTCTCCTCCCATCACAGTCAGTTCCTGTTAAAGCCAGAGGAATCACATGCTACTGCTGAGTTATCTGCTCTTTCTGCCATTCTACCATCCTTGAAACTGAGGCCTTAGTCTCCAGTGTCCTTTGCCTGTGACAATTCCCAACGACAGAATTTCATCTGAGCAAACAGGAGTACTCTATTGAGTCTCAATTAAAAGGGCACGACACACTGTTCACTGTGGTAACCCTCGCTTTGCAATCTCAGCTGAGAAGATGGATAAATTTCTTTTTTTTAATTTTTATGTCAAGTCATGTCTGGACAGGTACCGAGAACATAGAGGCTCTCCCTCGCTTAAATGTGAATCCTCGTTTTGATTTGCAGGTTGTACTGAGCCGGCTGAAGGTGAAATCCCAAACCTGGAAGGTAATCAAAGTTCTCGCACATTTTTTAATAAACTCATTTTAAAGCTAAAGGTAACAAAGTAGGAGAAGGCTGTTTAACTCTAGCAGAAATACTGCCCTTCATCCAAATCAAGGGCACGCTGCTGATATGCTGTTCGTCTGTGGGATCCAACCACGCTGGAAGGCATGCAAACACACAAATTCACACACATTTGAAATGCATTAGTGAAGCTGGCTGGTCTTCAACTACAAAACCATAATTCTGTGGTGGGTTATTATGAGTGGGAGTGGGCAGGCTTTTCGCTGAGGGGCTAGCAACACATCCAGCCTGACCTGCTTCCCTACACACAAACATGCAGACAGTACAAGCACATTACACACACACACACATAAACACTGAAAAGCCTGACGTTGGTATCAGCTGGGGAGAAAATCTTTAAAGTGTCCCTCACAGGCCCTGTGATCTGCTCTCGCTGTGATCACATGATGATGGATGGGGAGATGGAGTAATGAAATAGGAAAAAAAAGAGACCCCGTTCTCTCCCATTAACTCCTTAACGCCTACTCCTTCTCCACCCCCTATCTGTCTGTCGCTCGCCGTATGTCTTTGTCG